ATTAAAACATATTAAAACGTATTTACGACAGATTAAAATGTATTAAACATATTTATGACTGATTAAAATAGATTCAAACATATTTACGACAGATTAAAACGTATTAAACATATTTACGACATATTAAAACGTTTATGATAGATTAAAGTAGATTTTAAAACAGATTAAAACTAAATTTCAAATATATTTACAACAGATTAAAACAGATTTACGACAGATTAAAACATATTTACGACAGATTAAAGCAGACTCATCAGGTGAATGTGTTTGTGTGTGTCGGTCCCACCTGTGGAAGTTTTGTTCTTGGAGACCTTGGGTTTGCGTTTTCGGGTCTGAATGCTTTCTTTCTTCATGGCCAGAGGTCGGGGCACCTGCAGGGAGTGAAGCAGCACACGTCAGCTGAGTTGACCCCCCGCCCCTGAGCACCAGGAGCTGCTCTCCTCCCACACCTCCTCTGATAACAGCCGCCCAAACAGCGAGGCGCCGGCTGGGACTCACCCCGTGCAGCTTCATGTAGAGGCCGCAGGCGTTGCAGACGGGCTCCCCCTCGGCGTTTCGCCTCCACAGCGTGGTGGTGCTGGTGTGGCAGTTGGTGCAGCACAGGCCGGCTCGGCGGGACGTGGCCTGCTGCAGAACACATTCAAACACGGTTACATGTTTAATCCACTCGTCCGACATGCAAAGAAACACTTTATTTTCTGGTGTAGAAATCAGCTGCTTGTCTCTGCTCTGGCGCAGCCGGAAAAGGCCCGCTGGCTGCAGGAACCTTGTCTAAAAACGACTCGTTATCAAGGGCAAGGTCGGCGCAGGACAAGAAAAATAACTCCAGAAAAACTGCCGAGCAGGAGGCTGCTGGACAAGCAACACAGCTGCTGTGGAGCTCCTGGGAAACATACGGCTGTGAAACCTCAGCACTCGCCCTCCAGAAGGCTGAACATCATTCACAGTTTTCATCCTGATGCTCATCAAAAGCCTTCAAGTGGAAGAATAAATAAGAAGTCTGTTTTGTTTCGTCTCAAAGGCTCAGTTGCTGTTTCAAACCCGTTTAGGTGCACCATTTATTTCATTTTATTTTAAATTTGGCTCATGTACGAGCTGAAACGGTCCAAAATCTGCTTTCTTCATCAAAATGCTGAGATTAAATCTGTTTCTGTAAAACTTGTGCCGAGCGTTCATCGTCACCGTTGAGCTGCACAGGGACATTTTTTAAAGTTTGTTTGATTGAACTTGAAATTGTTGTGTAATTGATCTTGTTTTTTATTTTAGTTAATAAAATAAACTATTTTCAAATCTCTAACAAGCTTTAGGTTTCCAAGTAGAGTTTTGGTACCTTCACCTAGCATTCTGCTACTTTTAGCTTTTAGCTAGCCTTTTGCAATTTTGCCTCAGCTGCTTTTAGTTAATCATTTATTACATTTATATTTTAGCTAATCTTCTACTCCTTAAATATTTTACGTATGGTTTCCGTACGTTTAGCTGGCGTTTTGGTAAAAGTAACCGACAGTAAAAACACGACTCATCTCTGAAACAAACACTGGATTAAACGTTTTGACTCAACATTTGGCCGAACTAACTCAACAACTTAGTTATGAAAACAAACCAGCTGTGGACGGAGGAGGATCAACAACGAAAGTTGCTCATGGGCCAGAATTTCTGTCAGGAAACTCTACTACGACTACAAATACTAGTACAATGGTTACTACGATTGCGGCTATTACTATGATTATGACTACAACAACTACTGCTAGTACAAGGACTATTACTAGAACTACTACTATGACGATGTCTAGACAACAACTACTTCTGCTATGATGAACATTATTTTAACTACAACTTTTCCATCTTCAGGGTCTCCACACTGAGTCCTCCTCCACCTCACTCTGTCCTCACTCCAACTACCTCCATGTCCTCTCTAACTGCATCCATATGTCTCCTCTTTGTCTTTTTCCTGGCAGCTGCATTTCTAACATCCTTCTACCAATATACCCACTGTCCATCCTCTGGACATGTCCAAACCACTGTCCCTCCTCTGGACATGTCCAAACCATCTCAGTGTGTCCTCTCTAACGTTATCTCCCAGTTGTTCAACCTGTGCTGTACCTCTGATGATCTCATTCCTGATCTTCTCCATCCTTGTCTCTCATTAAGGAGAACCTCAACATCTTCATTTCAGCCACTTCCAGTTCTGTCTCCTGTCTTTTTGTCCATGTCTCTGTCTCCAGACCATACATCATAGCTGGTCTCACTACTGTCTTGTAAACTTTAACCTTTGACCTTTGCTGACACCCTTTTGTTGCAATTCACTCCTGAAACTTTTCTCCATCCACACCATCGTGCCTGGACTCTCTTCTTCACTTCTTTACCACACTCCCCATGTTCCTGGACAGTGGACCCCAAGTACTTGAAGTCCTGCACCTTTGTGACCTCTGCTCCTTGTAGCCTCACTGTTCCACCTCCTCCCTCTCATTCACACACATGGACTCTGTCTTACTACGGCTGACTTTCATTCCTCTTCTTTCAAGTGCATACCTCCACCTCTCCAAGTTCTCTTCCACCTGTTCCCTGTTCTCACCATAGATCACAATGTCATCTGCAAACACCATCGTCCATGGGGATTCTTGCCTGACCTCATCTGTTAGTCGGTCCATCACCAGAGGAAACAAGAAGGGGCTCAGAGCTGATCCTTGATGCACTCCCACCTCCACCTTGAAGCTATCTGTCACTCCTACAGAACATCTCACCACTGTCCTGCTGTCCTCATACATGTCCTGTACCAGTCTAACATACTCTTCTGCCACTCAAGATTTCCTCATGTAACACCACACCTCCTCCCTCGGCACCCTGTCAGATGCTTTTTCTAAATCCACAAAGACACAATGGAGTTCTTTCTGACCCTCTCTGTTCTTCTCCATCAGCATCCTCAAAGCAAAGATGGCGTCTGTGGTGCTCTTCTTGGCATGAAACCATACTGATGCTCACAGTCACCTCTCGTCTGTCTAGCTTCCACAACTCTCTCCCAGATCTTCATCGTGTGGCTCATCAACTTAATTCTCCTGTAGTTGCCACAACTCTGTACATCACCTTTGTTCTTAAAAATGGCCACCAGCACACTTCTTCTCCATTCCTGAGGTATTTTCTCACCCTCATATATGCCATTGAATATTTGAGTCAAAAACCTCACTGTCATCTCTCCAAGACATTTCCAAACCTCCACTGGTCATCAGGTCCTACTGCCTTCCCCATTTTCATTCTTTTCAGAGCTTTCCGGAATTCACCCTCACTAATCTTTACCACTTCCTGGTCCACAGTTTCTATGATCTCTACTCTTCTTTCTCTTTCATTCTCTTCACTCATTAACTCCTCAAAGTACTCCTTCCATCTTCCCGTCACACTCTCTGTCACACATCTTTAATAAGCCTAACCTGCTGCACATCCTTTCCAGCCTGATCCCCCTGTCTTGCCAAATTGGTACAAGTCCTTCTCACCCTCTTTAGTGTCCAGCCTCCCATACAGCTAATCATACATCATCTGCTTTTCCTTTAGCTACTTCCCTCTTTGTTCTACGTCCCATCTCCTTATGTTCCTGTCTCCTCTCTTCAGTCCTCTCACTGTCGTATTTCTTCTTGGCTAACCTCTTTTTTTGACCTGCACTTCACTATTCCATCACCAGGTTTCCTTATCATCCATTCTCTGTCCAGATGACACACCAAGTACCTTCATACCTGTCTCTCTCTAATTACTGTTGCTCTAGTAGTCCAGTCATTTGGAATCTCTTTCTTACAACCCAGAGCCTTTAACAGCTCCTCTCTGAACTCCTCACAACATTCTTTCTTCTTCAGCTTCCAGCATTTGGTCTTCTTCTCTGAACAACTTCAATAACTATGACTTCTACAATTATGGTGACTACTATGACTACAACCACTTGAAACAAGTTCAACTACTCTGCTAACAACCAAGACAGTAGAAAGTATTTGATGTTTCTTTAGATTATTTTAATGATAGAGAGACGAAGAGTCAGATTTAAAATAATAATAATAATATAATAGAGTTCCTTTTGTAGTCACTTCCTGTTTCCAGCTATGTGACAAAAAAGGTCAAATCGTGTTGCATGCCACTTTCTGTCCCTTGTTGTATTTGTAGGACGTGCATGTGACAGTTCCCGTCTCACCAGGCGTTTCTGGGGCTTGATGAGCGGCCTGTTGATGCCGTTCATCTTGTGGTAGAGGCCGCAGGCGTTGCACAGGTAGTGTCCGGTTCCGTCCCTGCGCCACAGAGGCGTGGACACCGAGCCGCAGTTCACGCACTCCCTGCCCTCGGCAGCCATCTCGTCCATCAGCTCTGAGGAACAGAAATAAAAAAGAGAAACCAGAGACGATTAAAAAAAAACTTCCAGTTTCTCATTCTGAGACATTACACGTTTTTTTTCAAAACAACCCAACGGATGACCTTTGACCTCTGATTTAGAAACTTTTATTTTATGGTTTTGTGTTTTTTCGTCCACTTAGTTTTGAAACCAATATTGTGGATGGTGTGTGTGTGTGTGTGTGTGTATCTCCAGTTAAACACCACAGTTTGATGAACAGCCAGCGGAGGAATTAAACCCCTCACTTCTCCGGGTTGGAGAAAAATCCAACCAGCCCAAAGCTGAAGAATGAGTCTGTTCTGGGGGACGGGGGGCTGGAAGGCAGGTTATCAGTTCCAAAGACCCCCCCCCCCCCACACACACACACACACCCTCCCATCCATCCATCAGGGCTCTGACACTGGACGGGCCGCTGCTGCTGCCCAAACTCCTCATCCAACACCTGAGCTCAGAGCCGGGCCGGGGCGACCCGACCCGACCCGCTGGTTCTGAACTTGTGGATTCAGTTCTTCTCAAACAGACGAGACTCGGTCCAACGGGCCGCAGTTCGGACTAAAGCACCGTCTGAGCCCACATATTTTTAAAATGATATTATTATTATTTATTTTATAGATTTTTCTAGGGGATTTATTAAAGTACGTGAGAACGTTGATTCAGCTGTTTCTCTGTTTAAGTTACTTTCAGCTACGCCTTTTTCATTAGCTGTTTTTAAATCAAAACATTCGGCTCATTCAGGAGACAGGCGCTGTGGCTTTTTGTTTTTATAAACTTTTATACTTTTAAGAGCTTTTCAACTTTAGTTACAGATATTTTACCCAAATATAATGAAATATCTTCAATACTTCCATAAAATGTTTTCTTTGACACGCCCTTCAGCTGTTTTTATCTTATGTTACTTTTAGCTTTTAGCTACTATTCTACTTCTTTAACAGTGTAGCTTTTAGCTCATTGACACATTAAGCATCTAATTAGCCTTTTGACACCTTTAGCTGTTTTTCGACTTTCAGAACTCAGCTATGGTTCTGCTACTTTTTGTTACTTAGGTGGCATTCTGCTACTTTTAGCTTTTAGCTATCAACATGCTTTACCTTTATTCTAGCTTTTTAAAACCTTTAGTTGGTCTTTAGCATCTGATCTGCTATGTAAAGCTTAGATTTTTGTTACTTTAGTTTATGTTTTTACTTTTAGCTTCTAGCTCTCCTTTTGCCACTTGTAGCACTTTGCTACAGTTCTGCTACTCTAGCATTTAGCTAATGTTCAGCTTTAACAGTTGTTTTAGCACTCATTCAGCTGATGTCCTTCTGACAGAAAACATAGTTTTTCTTGATTAAATCTGTAAACGGTGCCTCTAACGGGCTCTTTAAAATAAAAATTATAAAACAGCCGAACAATTTAATGTTTTTTCTGTAAACTCTCAGACATTTTATGTCTCATAGTTAAAATAAAGAAAAACTTTGGCTGCTGTAAGAAAACACCCATCGGTTTGTTTTAATCCTCGGTGTTTCTCACTGTGAAGATTATTTTAGAATCAGGTTTTTAAATGTTTTTTATATTCTCTTTAATTCGGCCGTTCTTTTCACGAGTTTCTTTACTAATGTGATGAATCATTGACTGAATGTTCATGAAGCATTTGTTCTGTTGGGATCCATTTTTATTACGTACTTTTTTCAGCATCTTGCTCGTCCCGCAGTTTTCAGCTATTTCAACAAATCATAAATCAAAACGTTCGGCTCTTTCAGGACAATCTTGCGATGACTTTTGGTATTGGTGCAACTTTAGCTTTTTGAAATATTTAGCATTTTCTGCCACTTTTTTCTCATATAGAATGAACTGAGCTCATTTCACATCTTTAGATGTGTTTACAACCTTTTACTGCTCTTTCACATTTTGTTCTGCTTCAGCTTCTTTCTGCTTCTTTGCGGAAATTTAAACAGTTTTTCAGATTCTTTCTGCTAAATTCGGCTTGTTATAATCATTTCAGCTTATTTCTGTGAGTTTCAGCTTTTTCTGCTATTTCAGCTACTATTTAGCTGTTTTTATGCTAATTTAAGCTTTTTCAACTAATTTCACATTTTTTAACTTGTTTAAACATTTTTACCCCAATTCATCAAAATGTGCTCTCTCCACTTCCTTCTGATAATTTAAGCCTTTCTCTCTCTCTTTTTAGCCACTTTTCAACAGTTTTTTTTGTTTTGTTGCCAATTTCAGCCTTTTCAGATAATTTTCACTTTTTGTGCTCATTTCGGCTTCTTTCAGCTTATTTTGGCAAAAGTGTTCTTTCTCCTTTCTTATGCTAATTTCTACTTGTTCTACTTTTTTTTTTTTTAGCATTTTCTAGTTAATTTAAGCTGTTTTCAGATCAATTCAAACATTTTATGGTAATTTCTGCTACTTTCAGCCTAATTAACTTATTTCTGCTAATTTCAGCTTGTCATGCTCCTTTCAACTTTTTCTGCAATTTCACCAACTATTTAGTTGTTTTATGCTACTTTTAGCTTTTTCAGCCAATGACACATTTTTAAAAACTCATTTCAGCTCTTTTCTTCCTTCAAGCTTCTTTCTGCCTTTCAGCTACTTTTCAGCCCCCCCACTCCCCCCCCCCATTTCAGTATGTTTTAGCTAATTTCCTAATTCGTGTGCTTATTTTTGTTTATTTAATCTCAATTTAGCAAACATGTGTTCTTTCTGTTTTCATCTACTAACTTTGGCTTGTTCTTCCATTTCAGCTACATTTCAGCAAGTTCTTCTGTAACGAGCATTCACATGGATTTTTTTTTTACAGGAAATGCAATTTATCTAGTTTTAAGTTTAACTTGATGTTTATTTTTTTCTTTAGGAACTAAAATAAAAACCCCAAAGAATTCTCATTGTAGATCCCTGAAAATAAATAAAACTAGTTTGGCATCATTTTGGGGGAGTGGTGGTGCAGAGGTTACAAGATGGGCCTGTGATCGGAAAGTCGCAGGTTCACCTCCCGGTACCGTCAACATCAAAATGTGTGTGGAAAAGGTGAAACACCCACACCTGCCTCCACCCTCATTCGCCCCACTCTGGGCCCATGAGCAAGGCACTTAACCCCCACCATCTGCTCCTAAACAAGTCTCTCTTGAAAATGAGTTCTCGTGGCTCAATGAGTCTACCTGGATAAATAAAGGGTAATTATTCATTTATTTTTTTAAATTAACAACTACTGAAGTGAAAACAAACACAAACTTAAATTAATCAAATCAAACAATTTAATGATTCTTTATCTTTTCCATCATGTCATCCTGATCTAATCAAATCTTTGATGATCAAATAAATGTTTATTTTCTTTCCCTATTTGCATATTTGTCTGAACTGAAGCAGCAGCTCCTCCACAGTCGTTTACTTTTAACACATTGTTGTGTCCAGGGCCTCACTCAGGGGCCTCACTCAGGGGCCTCATTCAGGGGCCTCATTCAGGGGCCTCATTCAGGGGCCTCA